CCTGTTGGATCAGTGTAGATTAACCCCGAGGTTCTGGTGCCTATCCGCTTTCGGCCACCCCTCAGTGTACATTGGTTATTTATTGATTATTTATAACCTAAATCCATCCTTCTGTCTTTGTGCAGGAAGTCTCATTATCTCCATTTACTTTCAGCCATTGAGGCCAGAAACACTCAGAACAAAAGCGAATCAAGAATGCAGATTGTCGTTAGCTTAACTTGGCTGCAAACGTTTAGCTCTAATCGACCAATCAGAGGACAGAAAATGCTGACGTATGGACGGGCCCTCTAAATATGAAATCTGATTGGCTGAAGAAATCATTCCTCGCTAATATTGTTAAGGTAACATCAGCAGTATTGCTGATTCTGAAGGCCCTGGGCAGATTTGACTGACATAGCAACACACAGAGGCTGAAATGTGATTGGACAGAAAATGGAAGCAGCGTAGCCAACAGTGACTCTACACAATTAAGAGAACAGATTTTTTGAAATAAACCAATAAAGTTGGAAAAAAATAAAAGTTGAGATTATGAATGTAGGCTTTGAAAGCCCTGAACCCAGCACTGCTTCAGGGTCAAGCAGCCCTAAATCCTCCCATGGGTTTGCTTTATAGTCCCTGAAAGCTGTGGTGAGCACCCTGTTTATCTTTTCCTTCCACACTTTTTCCTTCCACTCAACTTTCTTAGTGTTTGCAAAAGCTTTTCAGAACTTTTGCATTTTTGACACGTTTTTTAAATAAAAAAAGATCAGTTTTTTTCACTTTTGTGTAATGAAACTAAACGAGTTTCACCTCCTGAAATTAATGACAGAAGAACCACTTTTATTAAAAAATTATTTTTTTTAGTTGTACGGTTATAAACAAGCAATGAAAGAGTCTGGATCAGAAACGAGAGGTACAGTTTAGCTGCTCCTAATGTCAGTGGGACATTAAAGGACGTCTGTTGAATCTTTAATAATCCTGTTGAATATTCTTCTTTGCATCTTCAGTAAATGAGAACACTGGTGGGTCAGAAACTTCCCACAATCCTGCTCTGAATATGGCGTCCCTGGGTGGGGGGAGCTTGGAGGTGCTGTGTTACATTTGTTCTCCTGTTTCATTAAGAAGAATGCATCCAGGACTGATTGCTAAAGGTCAGATTAAGGGAGAAATCTGTTGGCTTTCCTTTAAATCCTAATCTTTATCCCTAAATAAAGGAACCCAACTGCATCATGTCCAAACATCTCCTTTTTCTCTGAATCTGACTGGATCGAACTCTCTTAATATTTTTATCTATAAATTTGAGTTTTTTTTCTGCATGAACTGATTATAAATAAAACAAATTAAAATAAAACTGAATAAATAAATCATTAAAGACCATAAAACCTTAAAGAGCTCAAGGTTATTCTTTAATTAAAGGGCCATTGGATTGAATAAAAAGCTTTGAAATTATATGAAAGAGTTGTTTATTTCTTATTAACAAAGTTCAGTTCATATTTATGTACAGTGGACTGGTTCCAGCCTTAATAAATAAAACATACATTTTCAGACCGATTAAAAAAAATAATAATTATAAAGTGTATGAGAGCAAAGGATGGCTGCACAGCATTAGTGTTTCTAAGTATTTCACAGGAGCCTCACTGCCCTTTAATCTTTGACCTGAGTTCTGCTCTGAAGTCTTCTGGTTTTAGGTAATATTTTGACCACAAACTGATCCACTTGTTATATTCCATACCCTCCTTCTCTCCACTAAACCCAGCATCGTAATCTTTGTCAGAGCTGAACCTGCCATCACTGCCCCCTCTCTGGCAGCTCTCCACTGGGTTTCCTAAGCCCAGGAGGCTGGAGCTACACACAGAGCAGATCCTCAGGTGCTTCTCTGGGTGGATGTGTCCGATCACTGCGCGGTGCTTGGAGCACCTCCCACAGACCAGGAAGCCACACTTTCTACAGTGGTGTCGCCGCTGGGTCGCAGAGAACTGACGGGAGCAACGCATGCAGGTGCAGGAGGCTTCATCTGGGACCCAAGCGACAGCAAAGCTTGGCCGCGCCCTGCTGGGGTCCCATCGCGGCAGTGTGGACTGGCAGTCAGTGATGTGGGAGATCCAAGCCTCCTTCTCTTCAGCGGATGCAGCTGCTACCAGGAAGGACTTCCGTGGGGTTTGGAGCAGCCACTGATTCTTCATGGTCAGGCTGTCCTCCATGTCCTCCAGCTGGATGTCCTCTGAAATGGAGATAAAATGTAAAACTGATCAAGATATGAACATCTGGTACAAGCACAGCAAATAGGACTGCAGCATCAGAGGAAACAGGGACTCCAGCTGACTCAGCCAGAGCAGCTCACCTAGAGGGATGATCTTCTGCCTATTGTACCAGCGGCGGGCCAACAGGATGTTTCCATACACCAGCACATCGTTAAAGAGGAAGAAGACTTTAGGCTGAGGCCCGCGGCGGCACCCTTTCATCAACCTGCCCTCTCCGATAAGAACCCGACCCGGCTGGTACAGGGGTCTTCCTGAGGAACCAAATAACTTCTCTACAGCCTGGATCCGCTCATGGTTCTCCTGGGAATAGGTCATCATGCCCCCCTTCTGCTCACGAACATGTCAGTCGTCTTTCTAGAGGAACTGTGGCCCAGCAGGAGTATTTATACTCTGACCTCGATGATGAAACGGCTTTCCAAAGAACAACAGCTTGAGGATGTTAGGCAAGAGCTTGGGAGGAACCAAATCAGGCTGAAAACATGCTTTTCAGAAATATAAACTGTTCTGGAAACAGAGAGAGCCACCAAGCATTTAAAACCAACTTCCTCTGATTTATAGAACTTCAGCAAGAAAAACTACAGTCAAGTTGTAAGAATAAGAATATTACTGAATATTTCAGTATATATTTCAGTTTTCTTTGCTGGCTTTGGCACAATTTTTATAACTATTGACTCTATGTACAAATAAAACCTTTCACCAAATCAGCAAAACATCGTCATGCTCTTGCAAAAGCTAATAACCCTTTCTTAGCTTTTCAAACATTCGTATATAGTGTGTTTGTTTTATATCAGTTAACACAAGCCATCAGATTAATAAGGACACAATGTGCCAACTGCACATCTGGCTTTTGCTTTCTCTTTACAAAGAAACCTACGTCAGTTTGACGTCACACTTTTGTGATATAAACACACGTCAAAAACAAGTGTTTTTTATCCAAGCCAAAATCATTGACAAATAAAATTATTAGCAGTTCGATCCATATTAGTAAAACACACGTTAACCTGCTATTTTCAGTGGGAAAGAGGCTTTTGACTTCTAGCTGCACATTTATGTTCCCTCCAGCATCTTCCTGCCTCCTTGTTTTAGTGAGGTTCAAACCTTCCTCATCCACAAAAAGCAGCTCATGACCTTTAGCGCCATCCCTCTCTGGAAAATAAAGTTCAGCACAGCTGGCTTATGTCCAGTATGCACTTCCACATTCAGTACCAGTGATGCTATAGCTTAGCTACACATAGTCATATCGCAGTGGTTTTACATGTTTACTGTTTCTTACTGTAATTTGTTTCATGTGGATTCTACAAATGTGCAAAGCAGTGTGTGTGCTTTTAGATTTGTTATAAGTATTAATAGTTTTAGAAACTGTGCAAAAAAATTCACGGTTAGGGTTTAAGTATTAGAAAATAATCTTTACGTGTCACTACCAAAATACACTACTTACACCCTAACTTAACCTACAGTAGCAGCCATTCAAAATGGTCCTTCCCAGTCAAATACCAGCCGACTGGCAGCCTACTCCCCTCCAACTTCCAGTCACTGGCCTTCTCCTGGGCATGCATTTATTTTTACTCTGATTCCACCCTTTCCCTGAATTACAGGGTCTGACCAGCAGATGGCGCTTCTCTTTAGATCTTAAAGTCCACAAATCATGACAGAAAGAATATTTTAGTACGAAGATTGATGTTTAAAAAGGAATTGAAGGGGACCCGCCAGGGACCAGCCAGGCACCAGCCAGAGTGCAGCCAGGGACCAGCCAGGCACCAGCCAGGGACCCGCCAGGGACCAGCCAGGCACCAGCCAGGGACCAGCCAGAAACCAGCCAGAGACCAGCCAGGGACCAGCCAGGCACCAGCCAGGGACCAGCCAGGTGGATGATGTTCAGCAAGTGGTGGAGTTGGGATTGAACTTCCACAATGAAAAACAAACAAACAGGTTCCTTCTGGTTCTAAAATCATTTTTTGAAAAATCAATACGGTGAACAGTTTATATGTGGACCAGTGGCGGCTGGTGGAGTTTTCTCCAATTCCCTCCAATTCAAAATAGACGTTTAGCATCCAGTAAAAGAGAAGGCCAGAACTAATGGCTAAATAATTTTAATTTGCCATCCATGTCATCAACCAAAGAGCTACGTAGAAACAAATAAAGCCATTAGACTTCAGGTCTCTCTAGATATGCTCCATGAAGTCCTCTGGAAATCTTCAATAATTGTTGTTGATTGCAGATGTGTCTAGTAGTTCCCATTGATTTAGCTTGTAAAGCGGGGAGAATGGCGCTAGGCTTACCGCACTGTGACGTCACTGCTGGAAGATGGCAGGAGGGAGGGGTTACTATATTTGGGCAAAAATGGCCGCTCCCAGACTCGGTGATCATGACGAAAAACTTTTTTTTTTTTTACTACTACTACATACTAAATTCATTAAATCACAACGGATGTATTATTTTCAGGTATAAATAATGATCCATTGATTATTCCTTCCTGACCAGACTTTTAATTTAAACAAACCATTAACCTCCATGTCACTCTGGATATTTCCTTTTCATTCCCTCCTGAGGACGCATCAAATGAAGCTACGGCTCAGGCCGCTCTATATGGCCAATAAGTTCGCCACTATAACTTTTATTATAATTGAAGTATAAAAGGGGCTGAGAGGCCAAAAAATTGTAAAAAATTTGCTTTATTTCAAAATAACTTCTCCTTTATCTGTTGGTGATGTTACAGATGAAAAAAAAAAAAGAGTGAAATAAAAACTACAGAAGTCAGCTGAACATCAAACAATGTCAAGTCCTCCATATTTAATCTGTTTTTTATCTGTGCAGAAAAATGTTGAAGGTTCCTGCAGCTATCATCAAGGCAGAATTGGGCACTGTGGAGTCAACAAGTCATCTCCATGTCATGTATTTAATCTACCCAGCCAATTAACCAGGTGAGTCCAATCTGCACAGGTTAATTCACGGTGAAGATTGGACTCACCTGCTTCAGTGACTGGGTAGAACAAATACATGACATGTAGATGACTTGTTGACTCCACATTGCCCATGTCTGCATCACGGATCTTTTATTTCAAACGGGACGTCTGGCAGAACAGGAGAAGAAGAACCTCACAGAGGTCTACTGAAAGAAAAGTGTGTTCTGCCACAGTCTGAACTCAGCAGAACCCGCTCAGATCTGAGTAACTGGACTTGTGTTGGCTCTGCACAGGCTGCAGGCTTTGTGCAGTTCTTTGTCCGTCCAGCAGGGGGCCGTCAGAGGACAGTCCCTACAGGTCGATGGTTCCCTTTACTTTGAACTTCTTGGCAGAGCGTTCGCTGGCCCGCATCTCCAACTTGTTTCCATAGATGTGCGACACAAAGCCGTCGATCTCCACAGAAAAAACACTGTTCCTCTTTGGTATCACTGAGTGAAGGAAAAAAAGACAAACATTAGCAGGTCTGACAGGCAGAGACTGAGGGGACGGCAGGGGACAGCAGGGGACAGCGGGGACCTCTGTCCGTAGAAAGGATGTTGGGTCAATCAGCCATCATCAAACCTTAGGAACAATACTAAAGTTTGCCACTGTGAGCTTTTTCAGGTTTGTTTCCATCTTGGACTAAAGATGAACTGAACGTTTCTTATTTCAGCGGTGAGGAAAGGAGTCAGGTCTCCCACTTCCTGGAGGCATTTTCATCTCCACTGTGAGAAACATCATCTGATGCTAATTACTCTCTGATCACCTGTGTAAACCAACTTTAACGTTTGGTAGTATAGACATAGATAGACCCCGCATCATCAGGTGAGAGGCGTGCCGATAGAGCGGCCATCTTGGGTCAGACCAGGCTGATGGATGCTAACCCTACTTTATGACTTTAGAACCTCTGAATCCACTTAACTCTCAACTGATTTACAAAAAATATATAGTTTCGCCGTCTACATGGGACCAAGTGTTTGATCTGATTTTCTAACTTAATACATAGTTTTGATTTTGTATCAACAGTTAGCAAACTTCCAGAGCTGCCTCTCAGGATGTCCGACTTTCATTCCACCTATGAATGCAACAATAAAAAGAGACTACAAACCAGATCCAGTCCGATTACCTTTCATTAATAGGATTTTATGACAGATTATCCTCATGTTTCACAATTACTGCTTTTCTAGTGTTTAAACAAAATGATAAGAGGCAGGGATGAAAACAGAAAAGAGAGCTTAGAACGTTAAAACGCAATGATTTCATCAAGGTGTGAATGAGGAGATATATATATATATATATATATATATATATATATATATATAGATATATATATATAGATATATATATATAGATATATATATATATATATCAGATGGAGCTATTGTCTCCAGCATTAAGCCTNATATATATATATATATATCAGATGGAGCTATTGTCTCCAGCATTAAGCCTTCAATGCCTCCATCTTCCCCTCTGACACAGCAGCTTCATCTGGTCTGGTCTCTATCCTGGAGCGAAATATCAGCTGTTCTGCCAATAGATTATATATATATATTGCAGCTTGGCCTGTTTTTCAGTGTTTCGTCCAGTTTCTCGCCCCCAGCTCTGGGCTCAGCTTCTACTGGGACTAGTTGTTCTCTCTTTCATCCTCTGACATTGAAACTGATTCAAAGCTCATCTCATTAACCGTTTCTTTCCCAGGCAGGCCCCCTGTGTTGTTAGCTTAGCGTTAGCTTTTCTAACATAGAAAATGTTTATAGATCAGTGCTTCTATGTTCTTTTTCTATGTCTGCTTCTGTCTCTTTAAACCCCAGTCGGCCTCAGCAGATGGCCGCTCACACTGAGCCTGGTTCTGCTGGAGGTTTCTTGCCGTTTTCTTCTCCACAGTCGCTGCGTGCATGTTCAATGTGAGGGATTGCTGCAGAGTCAATATCTTCTGTCTCTCCCTGCTAATCCTGTAGAGTCAATGACTGGATGCAACCAGCTGTTTATGAAGCTTTAATCTGACTGAATGATCTGGTTGGATTTGATCTATAGAAATAAACTGAGTAGAAGCAGTGATACTTGATAAGGTGAGTAATCAGGACGTTAAAGGAGAACTTCACTAACCTTTGGTTTTGTCTTCCTTAGTGATGATCTTAAACACCTGCTTGAACTCCTGGATCAGGATCCCAGTGATTCCAACGTAGGCTGGACATTTGGACCGCACCACTGTGAGGGCAAAGACATGCCTTAGAGGGACGGGAAAGAGGCAGACTGGTTCTGATGGACCTTCTGTTGGACCAATGCAGGTACCGTCACATCAACACAATCTTTTTTTATATATATATATAATAACTGGAAACGTACATATATAAGCCTCACCGGGCTATGAGCTGCTGATATCTACTGAAATCTCTCCCACCAAACCTGTAGGGGGAGCTCTACATATACCATTGGACTAGGGAAGAAGTAGAATGCTAGCTCCCGTTAGCTTGTTAGCTCGCAACAGTAGGAGCTTCTACTGAAAGCTGGAGCTTCATCAGGTTTTATTTCAGCTCTGCAGGAGTTGAGCTCAGTCTCTTCATTGGTTCGGCAGCTTTAATGCAGCAAATAAATGTCAAAATGTGGGACTTTTGTTCTCCGTCGTGCTGCTAGCATGTTCTTGTGCTATGAAGGTAGATTTGTTTCTTAATTATTCAATCAAACAAAAAGGTTGCTTCAATCAAAAAATATACTTTCAATTAAAAAAATCGTATTTGATCGTATCAATCAAAGAAAATAGTATTTGAATGCAAAAATATATTTGAGACTCAAAAAAATACATTTGAACACTGCTTTCCTTTGATTGAAAATGTTTTATTTGATAGAAGTCCAGTCTTTTTTGTTTAAAGCAACTTTTTTATTTGAAGTAAAATTGTTTTTTGATTGGACCATATAATGGGTAGGACATTTGGGTCTTTATTAATCAATTCTCATGTTTGATTGACACTTGTCAAATTTGAACTTCAAAACTTTTTGCACTTATAGAAAAAATGATTCAAATAAAACAATTTGAACTTTAAATTTTTTTCACTTCAAAAAAAAAAAAAAAAAAAAAAAAAAATAAAATTCAATACTTTTTTCTTTTTGGGGTAATTTTTTTTTTTTTTTTTTGCATTTGATTTTTTTTTCTTTGATTTTTTTCATTGAAACAACTTTTTGGGAATTGAATGATTAAGACACACATGTCCTACCCATGTATGGCCCAAACACAAAATAGATCCCTTCAACCAAAGAGAACATTTTCAACAATAAAAAAAGTGTTCAAATGCAATTTTTTGACTCAAATATTTTATGTGCTTTCAAAAACTGTTTTCTGTGATTGAAAACGTTTATCCTTTCATTGAAGTTACTTTTTTATTGATTCTGTTGTTTGTTTGAAGCAACTTGGCTACTTGATTGAATAATAAAGACCAAAATGTCCTACCCATTATATGGTCCAATCAAAAAACTATTTTACTTCAATTAAAAAAGTTACTTTAAACAAAAAAAGAGTGCACCTTCTATCAAATAAAACATTTTCAATCAAAGAAAAGCAGTATTTAAATGTATTTTTTTGAGTCTCAAATATATTTTTGCATTCAAACACTTTTTTTCTTTGATTGAAGCAACTTTTTTTTTTTGATTGAATAATAAAGAAACAAATCTACCTTCATATTGTGCTAAATGAAAATTAGCTCCTTATTCTTTCATTTTCAACTTTAACTTCCCCCTCTGGCGGTTAGGAAAAATCCACAGAAAAGCTGCATGGTTCAAAGTGTGGGAAAAGAGTAGCAGCTTATATTCCGGAAAATATGGTAATCATTTTTGTTTTGGGCTATTTCATAGTGTTTCAGCAGTTTTTGCTTGAACTTTCTGCCATTTTCCAAAGAAAAGCTTCACACTGTGTTTTCCTGGGGAAATACAGTGTGAATGTTCACAGTGTTCGCTGGAACTTTTTCTACTGTTTGATGTT